TTATAATTAAGTTTAAAATTTAAAATCTATTAAATTTGATATAATGAAATAAGATGAATTAATTTCTCGCAGTATAGCTGTGTTCGGTCTTTTCCTCACACAATCAATTGCAAGCGGAAGCGGCAGATTGGCATTTTTGTCGGATATGTGATAAGGCATAAGAGCAAGCGACCAGCGGCAAGCGGCTATGATGTTTGCTAGGGCGCACGCACTTTTGGGGAAGTCTTGGGCTGTTGTCATGGTATGTGGCAATTGCGGCAGTTGCAACTGCAACTGCAACTGCAACTGCAATAGCACCACATAATCATTGTGGCAGCTGAGATAGAGTGAGAGATCGTGTTTCTAATTTGAATTACGCTGTTGCAATGCGGCTGGCTGACAGGCAGAGCCGGCATCCAGCTTGGCCAGAGAAACAGAGCTTTAAGTAGCTGCTAAAGTTGATTGGCAGTTGAATTCGCACAGAGTGGTGGGACGGGGATGGGGCGAGGATTGCACTAGGTGGGCGTTGCAGTGGCAGGGGATGGTACGGCAATGCGTGCCGCAAAAGTGAAAGGCCTTTATGGGTCGCACAAAATGGGATTATATATCTGAGATGCATAGCTGCGATTTGGCAATTGCTGTCATAATTATTTCCTCAGCGTAGAAGAAAACCAGTTGTATTCCATTGTATATCTATCTGGTGCGCATATAAACATGGATTTGCATTTTCTATTGTCTAACTGAAATATATTATGATAAAATCGAATACAATTTTAGAACTGAAGAAAACAATTAGAATCTATTCATGATTCTGTTTCAGAATTTATTTTGTATTTTGCTTATTGACCTTGTTGAGCGTATATTAAACAACTTTCCAAAAATCGACATGGTTTAATTTTAAGTGGAAGATTCGCTGATATTTACGTTTTGAATATGAAATGAATGAAATCAAGTTGTAGCTGAACTGATTTGTAATTAATCGATACGAGTCTAAAGCAAGTTATCTAAAAGCTGAAATTTTAATTGCTTATCGAAATCAATTCTTTCAATCATATATATAAATATTCGTATCGATTTTAATGGCTTGCGTCTTTTTCATCAGAACAGAACTACGGAAGTTGAATTTTGATCAACTTATTCAAAATAACATATTTTAACTTAAAGTGGTTCTAAGTTCGTCTTCTCCGTGCGCTGATCGCCTTCTGTATTCAAATCGTAGCTTTACATTCTTGACAATTTTTACATATGGCATTTTATATTATTGGAATCGAATACATATTTCAAGAACAAAAACGAAGTCATAAAATATATTTACAACTTTAAGATAAAGTAGTTTTTTTTTTTTTTTTTTTTTTTTTTTTTTTTTAATGGTTCTAGTCTGTGTCATTTTATTATTAGAGGCTTTTGTTCTTTGTTTAGACTAGTTCAATTAACTAAAGCTGTAACTTGAATTTATTTCATTTTATTTATTTTGAATTCAGCTTTATTTTAACTAGTTATATGTCTGCCATCTTACATATATTTATTTACACATGGACTTGTTTCAACATAATAAATAAATTGTTTACTAATTTTTAATTCATTTATGTAATGATTAAACATCAAATTGCTTCAACCTTTTTATTTATTTAATCGGACTTTTTTAAATATTTTGTAGGAATCGTTTTTTGCTGTTTATATGATTGTCATCTTGCCTCTGGCTTTAACTTATCCTATTTTATCTAAAATCTTTAGCTTAGTTTATTCTATTGTTTTGTTTATATTAATTTACCTAATCAATTTCCGGTTCATCAAATTTCAGTTTGTTCGATCGAACTAAGCTATATAGATTTATCTTTATCAAGGCCAATCTAACTCAAGTTTTGTAATTTTTTGCCAGCTGCTAGCCAGTTCCTGGTTTACTTAAAAAAATATGCAATAATTATACAAAGTTCTTAATTTTCGTTCTTAATTTTCTGATATTTACATTCATTTTTATAATTCTTATTCATTTAACTCTAGGATTTATTCCTTTTGTGGTGATATTTAGTCAATCTCAGGTTCAGCTAGTTCTAGACAGCCTGCAATTTTTAGTTCATGTTCATCATACTTTGTATTTGGTAGCTTTCATAATAAAAACTAGAAATCTGTTAAGAGATTTTATTTTTTCGGTATTAATGCATATACAGGTCAACGTTATTATTATTACTATTGAAATAAAAGTTTTTTTTACTGCAGTTCAATTTTTCCATGTTTCCAGTTCATTTAGTTCTGAGCTCTTGTGCTTAAAGCCATATGGAATAATCGATTATGATGATTCCCGTTTTAAGCTGCTCTGATGGCATTCGACTCTAGTTGAAACGCAGTGGTCAACTTTTACTTTTGCAAAATGTGTCGTTTTCTATGTTCGACCAGATGGAACCAAGCCAAAGACCAACTCAAGCCGAGCAGCCAACAAACAGCAACCAGTGCAGCTGCCCACAACAGCAACAGCAACAGCGACAGCAACAACAAACGACAAGCGTTACGATTCTGTCAGACAACGCAGCCAACAGATGCGAGTTACAATTGAGAGATGCCAGCAGCAGCAGCAGCAGCAGCAGCAGCAGTCGGTGAGCTGAGCGGGCGAGCGGGCGGAGGTGCTGCTTGGTGGTTTTTGGCTCTGTGTTAGTTGGCATGCGACTTGGGCGCTTTGTTGCATGCGCTACATATTGCAACATAAAAGCCAGGCGACTGCTCGTTACAGCCACTCCCCTTCGGGCTGGCTGCCCCGTTTCCCCTCTCTCTGTGCACTGCTTACTCCACCGTTTGTCGCACCCGCAGTCGCAGTCGCAGTTGCAGTTGCAGTTTTTATGCTTCGCATTTCGGATTCTCATGTTTGGCATCGCCATAAATTGTGGTCAACCGATGCAGCCGATGCGACGTAATTCATTGATTATAACGACAACAATAACTGCAATGCAATAGAGTATCTCCTAACCTCCGCTCCCCACTCCTACTCCCTCTGCTGCTGCACCTCCTGCCAAGCATTTGTTACCTGCTGATTTATAGCCAATTGTGTGTATCTCTCTCTCTCTCTCCCTCTCTTTGTGTTTATTTGTTTGTCTTTGGCTTTGCTAGGCCTAGCCACTTGATCAGTCGCCGTTTGGTCTTGCTTGTAATCCAATATGCGAGAAGGCCTCCCAAAAATTAGCTAATATAATTATGGGTTATTACAACCGCCAGACCACAAGTGGGGACAGCTGCCACACGATCAGCTCTATATGCGGCAGGCCCACTCTTTGTCTTTGGTTTTCTGATAGTTTTTTTTTTTTTTTTTGTATTTTTTATTATTATTGCCTGCAACTGCCATGCGATAATTCACACAATTGTGCTACCGTCGCTCTTATATGGTGCATATATTCAGATCGTCCGTGCGGATTGCAGCTAACAGACAACACGCTTACCAAATAGTCTTGAGACCATTTGACAAACGTCGCTCTGTGGCAAAAATGAAAAAAAAAAAAAACTTTAAGATTGTCATAGATTGTATGGCTTAGAGAATTGCAAATGAATAAATTTAGATCCACAAAAATAATGAAATGTAGACACGAAATGCCATAACACATGCACAACAGTTACGAGTAATCAAGAATGGAATTGTTCGAATTTCGGAATTGAATTGTTCTTCAATTTGGGTTTAAATAAGCTGAAGAGACTTTGAATTTGGAGGGGCAGTTAGGTAAGGTAGAAGGGTTAAGATTAAACGGAAATTTCATTTGAGAAATAAGCCATTAAGTTAATGAATATTCGTTGCTATTAAATTTATTAACTTATTGTATCGGATACTTCTACTACTACAGAGACACCATATCACTTTTTAGAACTTTATTTCAATCATTGTCTTTCAGAATTATGAATTTTGTAAATGTAATTGGTATTTTGTATTTGAAC